CAAGTTAACCCTTCAGATATGGGAACTAAAGTTATTCCTTTGAATAAATTTTTGAATTGTTTGAAACTTCTATCTGTTGAAAGTTTGCAATGACTGTGCAGATATTGTTTGAGTGCATGAAAAGAATATGTGATTGTGCTCTGGACTACACTATGGCCCAAATTATGGTAGCAAGGTGGAGAATGTTGGAATTGAATCGGGTTCCATGTTATGCTTCCAAATTTGTATAAATCGCATTTGGCAATTGACAACTCTTTTAGTTTCAGCCTATTGCTGGATGTGTGACACCTGGACTTATGCTGACCGTCAGATTTGCTTCTGGATGGTTTGAATGCTATAATGCCCTTTCAGTTGGCATTTGGATAGACAGGGGGTTTTCAGTCTAGGGTTTCATCTTCATTTCGTATCTCTCTCTGTGGCTGCATTTTCTCTCTAGAATACTTTGTCTTCTACATATCAAATCTTTGATTTGATCCCAGTGTAAGATTGTGGTTCCCTGTTTGGGGATATTCTGTGTGAATATCGGTGTTAAGTATTCGTGAGGCTGTGTAGTTTGGTTTGGTTGATGTAGTGTTCGTTTCTTTGTGATTCGAGTGGATCTATTGCAGTGTGACTGAGAGATAAGTGTTCTTGTACTTTCTTTGTGATTGTTTTGAACTTTCTTGTAACCTTTGTTGCCGATTTGGGCTTTATAGTGGAACCGAGCATAATCCATAACTTGGATACTCAACGGGGGATGTAGGTGTTAGATCTGGTCACCGAACCTCCGGGGCTTAGGCCGAAACAAATCGATTGTGTTCTTTAAATTCTGCTCTTTATTTTCAGTATACAAACTTGTTGTTTTCTGTTCTTGATCTAATATCGTGTGTCCTGGTCCAACATTATCGTATGTAGATTGTATAATAATCGAATTGTTTTATGCAATAAAAACAATGAGGTTTAAGCAAGATTCAATAATTAATATATTTACATTGTATTAGTTGAATATAAAGTAGTTCAATCACTTGCTCCTGGAGAATAACATTTACAACATTTCCCCATGTACAAAAAGAATTCCACAGAATTCCGTCAGAATACTCACAATTAGTGGGTCCCGCTGTGTATTTAAAAATAATAAAAATTGTGCAACCCCATCGTGTGTGAGTGTTCTGTTGCATTTATGTGGGTTTTGCTTCTGTACATGAAGCACTGCTCTAACATTTAATATGAATAATTATGAATACTGGGTCAATGAAGTTTATATTTGTTTCAATTGGGTCACTTAGTCTAATTTTCGCTTAAAATTTCATCCCTTGTTTACCTCCCATCTCACAGTTACTTCATTGACAATCATACCACAGTTAATTGTACGGCACACCAACTATCACGAAAGTGTTAAAAAAAAAAATTATAACCTTTTAATTTAAAGATATTGTTATAATCTTTGTTTACTATTTTTGCTGTTAAGATGCCACGTAAAGATTAAATGGAAGATAAGTTATAGTTCGACTGCTAACTAAGCCATTTTCGTCAAGTTAGAGAATGATTGCTAGTTGATTAAGGGCGTGTTTGATAGGCTATATTTTTCAGGGAAGTAGGAAAATATTTTTCATTTTTCATCTTTTACGCTGTTTGATAGCCTAAATTTTCCCCGAAAAATATTATCCCACCCGCCACGTCAGCATTTTCCTTGATTTCCTTGAAAATATTTTCCCAACATTTTGGGAAAATATTTTCCAAATTTTTTTTTTTCTTTTGGTAATGGAAACAAATATCATAACCAATTGTAAAAAAAAATTTCACTTTAATGGACAATTTTCATGTAAAACAAAGTCAAACGAACACTAAATTTTGATTAAAAAATGATTTTTTAGGAATTAATTTTTTTTTTTTTTAACTTTTTGGCAATGGAAACAAATTTTATAACCAACTGTGGAAAAAAAAAATCACTTTAATTGACAATTTCCATGTAAAACAAAGTCAAACGGATAGAAAATTTAAAAATTTTCCGGGTGGAAAATTATACCAATCAAACACACTTGAAATCATTTTCCCTGTAAAACATTTTCTTTCCGCCCATTTTTCATCCTTGCAATCAAACGCACCCTAAGTGTAACATAGTGATGAAAAGTATTGAGTCCACTCTATTCATAATGTACAAAAAAAAAGAACTAAAAAAAAAATCTAGATGCACGTTATCAAGAAAAAAAAAATGAAAAAATAAAAGTTGTCAAGTAAAATTCTTTACTATGTAATATAAAATTTTCATATTTAAAGTTAGTATTTTATATTTTTGTTGGTCCTCAAGGATTTTTAAAATTTTCATTATGTCATGCATTTAGTAAGAGCTCATTTGGGAAGAATTAAAATTCAATTAAAAGTGAAAATATAGTCATTATTAGGTCTCACTCGTCTAATAAAAGTCAACAATAACGACTAATTTTTCAATTTTAATCCGATTTTAATCTCTACCAAACACACTTTAAAATTATTTAAACGTGGTCAATAATTTATCAAAGTTCTATTGCAAATAAAACAAAACGAAACATACCACATAAGAAAGAGATACATCATACATGCTGAGGTATCCTTGTAGTGAAAAATGTTTGTGTGAATATAATTACCCAAAATCAATTTCCAAAACAAATCTAATTACAATTGAATCACCAATTAAGACAAATTTAAATAATAAGGGCATGATCCCTAGCTAACTTAATGATCTAGGCGAGCCTAGACGAGACCTAAAAAAAAAATTCATATTTTTAATCATTTTTAAAATTATTTAATAATTAAAATAATATCTATCAAACATCTAAAATTATATAATATAATATTTACTTAATAATTCCTACAATTAGTCAATTATACAATTTTCAAATTTTCAAAATACAAAAAATAGATTGTTTTTCATAGTTTTAACTTTTAACTAAACAAGTCCTACTTCAAATTTTCAAATATGTTTTCATTTTCGACTTTTGTATGAAGTCATTTAATAATTTGAAACTAAAATCAAACAAAAGACTTTTAAAAAAGGAAAAAAAAAAAAAAGTCATAAAGCTTCACTAGGAGCTCACTGTCAAGCGTTGCGTGGAGTTTCGCCCAAGCCTTGACGGTAGGTGACGCCTAAGCTCTTAGGCGGACTTTTTAGAACACTGATCACAAGTAACCTTCTTGATCTATTGAAAACATAAGTTGTTTTATCAATGTCAAGATGTCCAAAAAATTAAATCTATGACTGCAATATCAGTGACATCATGGAATAAAAATTACATCTTTCACTACTCTTTTACAACACGATAAAAAGGGTAAAAAGAGAACATAAAACTATTTTACTCGTCCCAAAAAAAAAAAAAAATTACTCTTCTTCATTCCAGCTAGAGTAATGCTAACTTGTTAATATTGTTAAGGCCGATTTCTATACCGCCTTCAAATCTAGAAAAACAAAAAGTAAACAAAAATCAGTCAATAATTTTGAATGTCATGAGTTATAAACAATTTTATTAACCCTAATATATCAATTAAACTATCAAAAATCATCAATGCAGGGGTGTGCTGTAATGTTTTTTTCAGTGCACATGACTTCACTCTAATTCTTCATACTACGCCCTAGAGATAGAATTATTAACACGAACGTTCGTAGGTTTATATCACACTTTAAAAGAACTCATTGTCTCAAAGAAGATGAGTCAACCCCTTGGGATTTCATTATGCTGGTTGTAATTCATATATAGGTTATCAACTCTGGCTAGTGGTTACCTAAGGTCAGGAAAACGAATCTGTCAAGTCTCACACTATAGTTGTACAAGAATTGCCATGACAATCAGAGTTAATCACTATAACTATTATTCTATTTCTTGATTTTTGTATTTAGTTTACCTGTTTTAATGTGCATATCATGACATCTAGCAGTTCTCTAACACTGTTAAATTTTCATGGCTATCTAGCAATCTGTCTATTGCAATTTATGAATTTCCAATGAACGCNGGGGGGGGGGGGGGGTAATAATTTCCGTCACTTTTGACTAAAGGGTTAGCCTTTGTGGAGCTGGAATGTTGGTAGAGTGGTAGAATTTGCATAAATTGATATACAAGGTTTTGATTGATGTTTTGTTACTTCTTTGAAATTGTCACTTTTTGAAATTTACATCACTATTCCATGTGTTTATCACTTTTTAATAATTAAAAAAAAAAAATGACACTTAACTTTGTATAGTATAAAATGTAGTCAATCAGAATGCATAAAAATTGAAAAGGGGGAGCTGCAGAAATTGGTGTTTCCCAAGCAAATGTCATCACAATGTGGTAATTGGGAGAAAAACTGATGCAAATCCAGGTCGAAGATTGTTGGATGCAACAAATTTGTAGTAGTATTTTCTAAATTTGAAGGTTAACAGACCAATAACATTTACTTATAGGTTGCTGCCCTGCTGGTGCTTGTGCGAATTTATTGTGAACCTTCAAAATAAATGCACATTCCCAACTCGATTATTTGACAAACCCAGCTAATGGCAAAGTTCCTGTGTCGACGCAAAACAAGCTAACCCAATTTCTTAAATAAGCAAAAATATAAATCCAAGGACCCAAACAACGAATATAGGGCACCGGTGAAAAATTAGCTTACTTAATACTAACACATTCTTCTGCTTCATAACAAAATAAAATTATGTCCTCTCTTTAACCTCCAAAACAGCTATATAAGTTCGAATGAAAAATCCAACTTGCCTTTTCCTTGTTTAGACACGTTGAAATTACCAATAACATTTCATGTCAGGCATTGAAATAAACCAAAGACTTGTACCACTTGCTATAATTATGTGGCTTCATGTTTAGAATGTTAGAATTTATCCACTGCTGAATACATATGTTAGACACAACATTTACTGCATATTTAATTCACAGTATTAGACATTATTATACAGTTTTGTTTCTTTAAGTTTGTCAATTACAATTTAATCTACCTAACCAAACATGTCATAATCGGCAAAAGAGGACCATGATGTACAAAAAGACAGACCTGAAATTTCACTGCCCCTTTACAGCTGCTAGTTGTTTCTTGAGATTTAGAACTTCAATACCATATGAAGCTAATTGTTTCTTCAGTACAGTTGAAGCTTCATCGTATTTCCTATTCATATAATCCAACTCGTCCACTGCCTCCTTGTATCTAACACGAAATGTGTCTAATTTTGTTTGTGCTCCTTTGAGTCTCATTCTCAGTTTCGCCTTCTCCTTGTTATAATTAATTTGATCCTATTATAACACAGCAGAAAATCACATCTTTTCACTTGTAGGAAGATAGTGATAGTGAAAGTTAAAATTCATATAATTCAAACAAAATCAGAATAGAAATTCTATGACAGGTAACAAGGATCAATGCTACATCACATGAAAGAAATATAATAAACTCGTGAGTATGACACACAGGGAATCAATCAAACATGAGTCGAAGGGCCACAAGTTGGAGAAATAACATGACAATAGAAGTCATGTCTGCTGGCAACAAGAAGTTAAACTGGAATATTGAGTCAACATTATTGTTGAGGTTAAAACCATCAAATTGCTGAGACCGACACCTTAATATCTGGGTTCAAATGGGGATGAAATTTGAACCGGGCACTCTTTTAACATTACCAGCTGGAAAAAATATAGCACACTCAAACTAACCACTTGCCACAATGGTTCATCAGCTTAAAGAGGAAAGTCACAATTCAAATAAGCTTTATTATCACCTATTCACATGGGACATTATTGACTAATTTTGCAAGTTATAAGTGAATTGCAGTTCTGTACGATAGTAGAAAAGATTTTTTCAACTTGCAAAACAATAAGGGAAAAGTATCAGGTACAGGATTCCTTACATTGTGCATCTTGACCTCCAAACTAGCAAGTCTTCCACTCTGCTCCTCCAGTTCACACTTTAACTTCAATAGCTGTAGGTCAAACAATCAATTATCATCATGCCATCCTGAGGTTATAACCCAGATGCAGGAAGATAGTATCCTCATTATTCAGCGTCTTAAATCTAATGCGTTGCATAAACGGAGAAAACGGAAAAAGTAATTATTGCAAAACTTCGAGGCCAGTGTAAATTAGTTTTGACTTGTCATTTTCAATTGAAAAAAAAAATGCAAGCATGTTGTTAATGGGAAATTACGCAATTATGTAAACCTGGTGTTCATCCATCGGAATTTTTCTTGCATCCAGTTCTCGTACCTGGCCCAAAAGATATTCTCTTTCCTCTCTAAAAACACTCAATTCTATCTGAAGCTTTTCAACTTCCTCGACTGTTTTCTGATGTAAATTTCAGAATATCAATAATGGAAAATATTGGCAGCCATGTAGAAGCAATTAAAGTCAAATTCTACGCTATGATAGGTATAGCCAAAGAAGATACAACATTACCTCTTGTGACCTTTTGTTAATTTCATCAGCAACCCTTAGTTCATTTCTTAAGCGGTCAATCTCTGATGATTTCTCAGAACTGTAATCAAGTGTTTTGTTAAAAAAGAGTAGAAGTGGGAGGCTAAATGTAGAGGATTGGGGAAAGAAAATAGTTGGTAGTATTTTTTTATTAATATATTTCTAACAAGCCAGTAATATAGGACAAAACCAGTTCACTTGTACACTTCGAATAATTACAGAAGACAGAAAGGGAGACAAACCTGCACTGCTTCTCAAAAATCGTATTTTCCTCGGAAATTGTCAGCCTTACATCAAGATCCTTGCATTCTTTTCTACAAATCTCCAGTGCATCCTTTACCTAACAGTACACAATCATCACCAAAATGAGGAAGTTAACCTTTCTCAAACAATGGAAAAGTAAACACTCACTGCAGAACCAACTCATAGTAAACAACACATTTCCGTAAACACTTCAAAGCAGACCACTGCCTGGAAACACTATAATCCCTATGAAAAAGGCAATTTAGCAATTTGCTGTTTTGAAGAGACGAGAAATCAGCACTCGTGCGAAAAATTCTTTTCGAAGAAGTAAACTAGTCTTTGTACAGAGTTCTGGGGTATAATAACTGAAATCTCATGATAAAATAAAAATACTTAAATGCCAAAATATTTACCTAACCAAGATTCGCCATTCCTTCGAGATATGAAAATTGGCCTCTAATGATGAATAATAGTGGAGATAAGAGAACTTAATGCTTATTAACTATTTTGGAATTCTCATAAACTTTAATGAACTAGTATATCATGTAAAGGTATTACGACATTCACTATAACTGATGCTAATTTTATTTGAACTTAATTAATAATTTCGGTACACTATTTTCTGTCTGAGATTTTAGCCCTGGAATAAAGAAATTAAAGTTTCAGGTCACCAATAACAGCATTAAGCTATGCTAACGAACAAGAAAGGAAATGAGATTTGCTTTCTCAATGGACACAAATCACATGCCAGTCATGCACAACCAAATCATATATTTGTGTGATTTTCACAACATTAAATTTGGGCTGTCACAATATTTTAACCATGTTTAATACATTAAAAACTATATGGCTTTCTGATCTGTAATCACGTCTATTGGTTTTCTAGCAAACCAGTTTCCATGATTACTTCAACGCCCCCATTGGTGGTTGGAAGGAGCTGAAATTCAACCAGTTCAATATTTATCAAATTATGAGAAAGAAGAGTAAATGAACATAATAACTAAAATTTTACAAAAATCAAAAGAACATAATGTCAGCTGTTCATCATTTTTGCATCATGTTACAAACATGATTTTGTAAGAACTGGCATTGTTTCCTGGGGGTAAGCTGATCACAATTTTAAGAAATTTTCGTATTGTGTCAATGATACTCTAACATAGCAAAAGAAACATGTAAGGAAATAACAAGTATAGATAGATTAAAATGAAAGAAACAGAAATCCCTTAAAGAACTTGGCATAAATGCAGAACAGAGCCTGGGCAAATTATAACACTTTAGTTTAGTTAAAACATGTGATAATTACTTGGCTGAAATCTTGTACGCTCACATATAATAAAGAGAAATTTTAAGAATATCTTTTGACGGTAATTTAAGTAATGGGACCATATAAGTCAACAGAGAAATCCCTTAAAGCACTTAGTTAAACACAGAATAGAGAAAGCCTTGGGCGAAGTATGTACCTTTAGTTTCAGTCAAACATTTGATAAGCTGAAATCATGTATGCTCAGGACACATACAAGACAAAAAGCACAGAAATTATGGAACCGTGTAAGTCAACGAGAAGGATAATACTGAAGGTTGCATGTGGACTGAACTGGCTCCTTCTGTCCTCTTTTGAACAAGATATATAAAACTCATTCAACAGGAATCAACTGTTTTGAGTTTCTACATGAATTCAACACATCTTATGATCCTCATTATAGCCACCAAGCAAGCAATCAAGGCCACTAGTACAAAAATATAATTTCATGAAAACTTGTCTTGTGATGCCAAGTCATGCACACGTTAATGTCAATTTAAAGAACAAAAGCCTCATGGGTGCACAAAAACTTAATTCTAAAAATAAATAAACATTCAGATAATCTTCAACAAATAATCCGATAATTTTGGAAGATCACCTCTGATAATTCTTTCGATAACAAGGCAATCTCAGAATGATATGATTTTGCTTTTTCTTCAATGGCTTTAACTGAAGCTTTCTCCTTTGATGACCATAATGCCTTCTCCTCCTCCATTGTCAAAAGGGCTTCAGCAAGTTGCTGCCAAAAAAAAAAGGATAAAACCCAGGTATCCATACAAAAGCTATAGGGATTTATATAACTGCACTATTCATTTTCAGTACCATTGACAACTCTTCTTTTTCTTCTATCACAGAGGTAAGAGAGCTTTCTACATTCTGCCTCTGCAATTTAGATTCTTCCAAAGTTGTCATCTGAAATAATATATAGGAAAAACTTGAGGAAATAGGCAGCAGAACCTGCTAGTCTTACGAAAATAAGTATTTCCAATCTTAGACAAGGAATTCTGAACATGTGAATTTAACATAACTAAGAAATGCTTACAAGGGATGAAACCTCTTCCTTCAGAGTACTCAATTTTGACTTTGTATCACACAACTCGTCAGACAACTCTTTCAAATCAGAAGCCAAATTTTCAGATCTCGAAGTGGCTACATGCTTCTCCCCATGTGCTATTGATAGTTGCTCTTCCAAAGATGCAATAGTGGCCTCCATCTCAAATGCAAGCACTTCCAGCCTCTTGTAATCCTCCTGAGAAAAAGGAAATTAAAAATATATCAATGTGTTATAAAAACTGGTTGGAATAGTTTCACTTTATAAGCAGTAAAAACCGCTACAGAATAATTTTTACCCAAGAACAGCATAATGTTATATATATGCAGAAAGATAATATATAGGAAGAATGAGAAAAGCATAATTCACAGTTGAACAGGTGTCAGACAAGGGGAACACAAAGTCAAAAAGTGAAGCCGCTCCCAAACCCTTAAAAGGGGAAAAAACTTTTAGAAGGAACAAAATATAAAATGACGTGAGCTTAACATGTATAGCTGCCATGACATCCATAGATCATTGATTTTCAGCCAAGCATACTTCACTTGGTATCATGATCACTCATCTACTCGGAAAAACTAAGTAAAACAACCAGAATGTTCATTCTTCACTAACAACTCCAGCTCTGAATATTTCTCACTATTAAGTTAAACAAGTATCAAATGTTAATGATGAAGCCAAAATAATATCAGAGACAGGACAGTTTACAATTTGTGTCCGCAGCAACTGTCACTAAGAAATCCATAAGTAGGCAAATACTTCAGATCTTTGTTGCCATGGTTAGTTTTTACAGAAATAGGAAATATGACTCACAAGATTCAGAAATGTGTTTCTTGAAACATTCATACATTGATTTATTCCTCTTACACCGTCATAATCTTCTTCTCTAATTCTACTTTCTTTTTTTTCCTTTTTTTCATTTTTTTTATGAAGGACCAACCCCTTGCTTTAATGTGCCAAAGACAACAGCAATTTGTAACTCAAGAATTTTTATAATTCTATTATTATTCGATCCAAATTCACCAATCCTTACCTGCATTGCTTGTTCAGCCAACGGATTAAGCCCCTTAGTTCGTTTATGTTCAAATGCGTTAGAGCTCCTATCAATAACGGAATCACGCCTCCTACCAACAACAGAATCACGTTTGCTCATATCACGTTCAAGCACAGCCTTCTGGCCAAACAAGAGTTTAACTTCTCTCTCAGCACGTGCCTTTTCGCCCTAGTATTGGTAAAATGCATTTATGACGGTGACATCCAAATGAAACACAAAAAGAAAATCAAAATATGAAAGGAATAAGACCTCCAGCTTTGTTTTCTCCTGGACAGCATTCTTGAGCTTGAATTCTGTATCTTTTAACTTTGCTTTTGTTTTCTCCAAATCTTTTCGCAAACTTTCCTTTTCCTTAGCCAAGGAACAAGATGATAACGATGAAATTTCCTCTTGGAGAATTCGAATTTGAGAAAGGAAATCAGACGTTTGCATTTCATGTTCTGAGCTAAGCTCCTGCAAAAAAAAAAAAAAAGAAGAATTGATTGTCAAAATTGGACTAAGCAGACAAGAAACATGCAAAAGAAAGTAAGGTAACTTACAGCAAATGCACTCGCAGAAGTTTGAACCTTTAAACTTAACTCTTCTATCTGACTCCTAAGATCTGAAGCTTGATTGTGAAGAAGAAGCTATATTTCAACAAGAAATGTAGATGAACTTAGTGCAGAAGTGATCAATTTTTTTCAAATATCCAAATGTAGAAATACCATACCTTCTCATTGTCGAGCTCTCTAACTTTGTTCTTCAAGCAAGACTGTAACTTCTCATGACTCCTCATTGTTGATTTTATTTGAAGTAAACTCTCGGAAACTGAAGGCCTGAGATCCTGAACTTGCATCAAGAATATTGTGAACTAGAATAGTTCTGTAATAATGATAAAACCATTGTACGAGTTTTTGTATGTGCATAACCAAATAAACTTCTTTCCTTCAACAAAAAGATTATTACCAAGAGTGAACATATAACTAGTAAAGAAGCACATTCACTAGCATATACTCGCACATCAATACAGCAATATTAGATTGGTAAAGGTGAAAATAAAAAATACTCACAACAATCAGCTTTGATATTGCAGAAAAACAATGAAAAATTTCATCCACAACCGAAGAGACAGACCCTATAAGATGTCTCGAGTTTTCAACCTCCAGCCCTATTTCCTGGGCTTCTTTTGACAGCTTCATTAAGCAATCAGATTCATCCTGACAGAAGCTAACCATTAATGAAATATCCAAGACATGAAGTGAAAGAACACTGAATATGAAAATTATCAACAAACTTTATCACAAGAGCCGAAACCTATTTCACTTACCATGGACAATTGCACCGAAGCAAGTTGTTCACAAGCTACAGTGGCTTCTTCTCGTGTAACCAGAAGCTCTTCATAAAGCTGTATTGAATTATTCAGTTTCAAAAAATAGAACAGATTAAAATACAGTTCCAAAAGAGAAAAGGTAAGGAGAGAGCAAAAAAACATAGCACGCAAAGTGTGTAAGTGTAACCTTCAATTATAAAGCAGCTCCCAAGTTCTCAATTTATTATTAATCTCCTAAGAGTTTCAAGTCATATATCTATCAGATGGCTTGTTAATCTAAATTTGATAATCTAGATCATAAATAATTATATTTTATTGATCTTCTATTCATTCATCTCGCTAATATATTTCTTTTTTTGAGTGCAAGAGTATACACGTGCATAACCTCTACAGACTAGGACATTCTAGTCCTCCAATTTCTTAACGATGTTCAGCCGAGGAAATAACACAACTTATGTCTCAACAGAGAAAATTTTGTATCACGGGTTCTTTTGATCAATGGGGTGCATAAAAAGGCAAAGATGATCGACTCTAAATTATTCTTGTGAGAAACTAGGTCCACTGGAAATCCTAAAATCAACCTGGGATGTGAATCAAATTGGCTATTCAATCTAAATTAACACTCCTCATTGTTACCACAATAAAGACACATCAATTAATTTTTATTCCAGGTGTATTAGTCATTTGAGTTTTCCTAAATTTGCAGAGTAAATGCCTTAGTTTTTTCATAAAAAAAAAAAAATCTTCTTCCATGCACCATATTATTTGAAGTCAGGACAACACCAGTAATGAAGACCTTAATATAATCATAATTATCTTCCTCCTTTAGAATATGGATAAATAAAACTAATGCAACAAGTACTTATGGCATGTAGCAACATTCTCAGCAACCCAGTTGACAGAATTCTTAATGCATAAGATAGGAACCGCTACATGTCTTAAAAACAACTACATTACATAAAACTTCATGTAGAAGAAGTTAAAGCTTGATGCCTTTTCAAATTTCTCTTGGGCTGATATTGTCTGCTCAGTAACTAACTCAACAACTGAATCCAAATTTTGCTGGCTTGAGGATTTCTCCATCTCTAAAATATCAATCTGCAGAACAAATTTGACAAAATCAAGATCAAAAACAAAATTCAAAAATAACAGTCAGTTTGTGCAAACTAAGCATAAAGACGTCATAAAATCTAGAACATTTGACCAAGACTTGTCTTGGACAAGCTTAAAGTGTCAATCAGACTTCTAAGTGCAGCAAGACTAATACAAGCAACCCAGAAATGGAACCTACACCATTTTACCGCGGATAGCTCACGACTGGAAGCTTAATGATACCCTCATAGTCCCTACTTAGTTGACACTGGCAGTGTCCCAAGACAGTCATGGTACCTTGCTGCTGTAACGACCCAGGTCTCTATACCCAAGTCGTTAACTTGTGTACTGTCCGCTTTGGGTGGGCTTATGCCCACTTATCCCTTACGGCTTTCTATCGCGTCCCCCAAAATTCGAACCCAAGACCTCCATCATATAGGAAACTTAAGTTGAATCCTGGTACCAATTTGGCAAACCGGACAATACGCAAGTTAACGACTTGGGTACAGAGACCTGGGTCGTTACAAAAAACGCGGATTGTACGTATGATATGATAACGGCTCCAGCGCAAGGTCAGGTCGTTACAGCTGCCCTTGCTTACACGTCATAAAGGACTTGCCTTTTTTTCTAAATGAAAGTATCACATCCTCATTTTAGTCATTTCTGTCATCAAAAAATGGACAATGACAACTTGAAGCCTACATGGCATTATCATTGATTTTGAAATCACCCTTTCTACTTATTGAACGACTAATTTCCAGTCTCCTAAAAATAGCTCCATGGTTTATCACGTTCTCTCTTGTGTCAGTCATCGAAAAAGTCCAATGTTAGCATTCTCTTCACCAACTATATCGACATAAATACCCAAATTCAATATTAAATTGTAACCATAGGAGGTTTGTTCCATTTAATCCACAATGGCATATGCAACAGAAAGGAAGCAAGTGAAAAAGACTAAGGGTCCGTTTGATTCTAAAGGTGAAAAATGGGTGGAAAGAAAATGAATTACTGGAAATTGAATTGCCTAGAAATTGTTTTACTGGGAATTATAATTAATTGTGTTTTATTGGTATAATTTTCCACCTGGAAAATGTTAAAAGTTTGGTATCTGTTTGACTTCATTTTTCATGAAAATTGTCCATTTAGAGTGATAATATTTTCTACCATTGGGTCTAGAATTTGTTCCAATTGCAAAAAAAAAAAAAAAATGAAAAAAAACTGAAATATTTTTTTTTACCATACCGAATATCATTCGTTTGGATTTGTTTTACATGGAAATTGTCAATAAAAGTGAGAAATTTTTTTACCATTATATCTAGCTTTTTTTCAATTGCCAAAAAAAAAAGGAAAGCTGGAAAATGAAAAACCAACCAAACCAAAGGAAAACCAATTCCTTTCACGCATAGAAAATGGGCGCGTGAGTGGGTAGAAGTGAAAACCAATTCTAGGGAAAAAGCAACCTATCAAACACAACAAAAAGGTTGAATTGAAAAACTTTTTCCATTTTCTAGGAAAAAAGCAACCTATCAAACACAGCCTAAGAGCATCTTTGGCTAAGCTTATCCTCTAGAAAGGTAACTTTTAAGCTTATCGAAAAGTGTTCTAAGAAAACATAGGAAAGTAAAGCAATAGAGAGGTAAACCTTCTCTTGAAGTTGCTTGATCACAAGAATAGCATCCGACTCCCTCAAACTTTTATTTTCATCTGGAAGAGATATATCATTTGTACTTCGTGTAGTACTGTCTTTATATTTCCCATCCACATACAGATCAGCCTCGGCAAGCATCCTCGTTAAGTAGTCAATTTTAATATCACTCATTGTTCTCTATAAAGAAAATGGTTAATAATACAAATTTGTAATGCAATTGTCATTGAAACATAAAAGTAGGAAAAACTAACGTGAGTTTCAAACTTTGACAGCAAATTTTCATATTCGGTTTGCAATTCTGCCAATTCATTATTCTCCTGCGAGAGAAACAATTAGTCAGTCTCAAAATACATCAAAAATGTAGAGATAAAAGAGGTAGAAATATGATATAAACCATTTGTAAACTTCTCTTTCTGGGCGGAGCCTTTCTCCTGCTGGTAACATGCAGCAAAGCCCGTGGATCAGGAAGACTGCAATCTTCCGACACATTTTTCTCACAATCTACTTCTTGCTTGCTAGAGTCAACCATGATTACTTCATTAACTAACTCTTCAAAGGGAAGAAGAGGCGCAGCTTTGCAATGTGCTCTTGTTGACTTCACGACGGAAGGCATCTCTTTGACAGTAGAGCGCAACTAAAGCACCAAGTATGTTTGAAGAATGAAATAAGAATTTTCTGTATTTCTTGATTGAATTGTACACATCTATTACACTCTAATTATAGTACAACAATAAGAAGGAAAAAATAATCTTCTAATTTCAAATACAAGAAATTAGCCTAACAATCAACTTAAGTTATGGAAATATTTAATCAATTATATATCAATCATGATTAATCATGATCAATCAAATATCAGTCATGATTAATCCCTAGAATTTCTACTCTCTCTCTTAAGTTAGATCGTAAATATTGACTATAGCCAACTTGCAGATGAAATCATCAAAATTGTGCCTTGGTAATCCTCTGGTGAAGATGTCCGCATTTTGTTCTTTTGTAGGAACATAGATCATACAAATAACTCCGTTTTCCACCTTTTCTTTGATGAAATGGCTATCTACGTCTACATGCTTAGTTCGGTCATGTTAAACGGGATTGAGAGAAATATTAATGGCATCTTTGTTATAACAATAGAATTTGATTGATAATCTTGCAGTGACCTGTAGTTCTTTTAAAAGTTTCTTTAACCACAATCCTTCACATATCCCTTGTGCAACAGCTTTGAACTCCACTACTTCTGACTACTAGATTTCTTACTTCTCCAAATAACTAAGTTTCCCCATACAAAAGTGCAATATCCAGCAGTAGACCTTCTATCCTTAGCTGAACCAGCCCAATCAGCATCTGTAAAGATCTCCACTTCCCCTCTTTCACATCTCTTGAAAAATAGACATTTACCTGGAGTCCCCTTGAGATAACTTAGTATCTTTTACACAGTTTCTAGGTGAGCTTCTTTTGGCGAGTGCATATATTGGCTTACCACACTTACTGCAAAGGTAATATTAAGTCTAGTATGTGACAAATAGATTTGTTTACCAACAAGCATCTGATACCTTTCCCTTTCAACTGATTTTCCTGCACCTTCTGTCCTTCCGACTTCAATAAGTGTCACTTGACTTACAGCCGAGCATGCCCGTTTCAATTAAGAGGTCAAGGACATATTTTCGCTAAGAAACATTGATCCCTTTCTTCGATCTAGCCACTTCCATTCCTAAGAAGTACCGCATTCGTCCCATATCCTTAACTTCAAATTCAATGGCTAATACCTCCTTTAATCTCTCCATCTCCTCGATATTATCTCTAATTAGGATAATGTTGTCCACATATACAATCAAAATTGTCTTCTTCCCATTTTTCTGATTGTAGAACATAGTGTGATCTAATTGTCCCTAACAATAACTTACCCTTTTTATCACCTTAAAAAATCTATCAAACCATGCTCTAGGAGACTATTTGAGTCCATGCAAGGACTTCTTCAACTTATATACTTGGTTTTCTTCTCCCTTTTACAGAGACCTAGAGATAGTGTCATGAAAACCTCCTCTTCTAGTTCGCCATTCAAGAAAACATTCTTTATGTCGAGGTGTTGAATTGACCAATCTAGGTTGGCGATCGAGGAAACTCAGACTGTGTTCAACTTAGCCACGGGTGCAAAGGTTTTTGTGTGGTCAATGCCATAAGTTTGAGTAAATCCCTTCGCAACAAGACAAGCCTTGTACCTCTCCACCATCCCATGAACTCTGTAATTCACTGTAAACACCCATTTACAACACATTGCTCTAATCCCATGTAGCAAATTCGTCACCTCCCAAGATTCATTTTTTTTCTACGCCTTCATTTCCTTCATCACTACTCTCCACTCAGAAATCTCCAATGCCTCCTGGATATTCTTAGGGATTTTCACACTATCAAATTAAGAAGTAAAAGCACGTTACTCTGTAGACAATGTATTGTGGGACACATTTTTTAAATGGGATGATGAACGAGGTTGTTCTCTGAGTGCAATAGGCAAATCAATATCATCAAGTTTAGGAGTAATAGAGAGGTTATATCACCTGATTTGACCTAGGGAAAGACTCTTGGTTGTGCGAAGCTACCATCCATTCAGACTCAATCGATACCTCGGGTGTGAGATTCTCATTAGGCCTCGATTTTGGCTTTCATGAGTAACCCAGTACCTCTTTTTCTGTTGTTTTTCTACACATTCCTCTGAGTGTAAGTTTCTTTCTATAACCGACAAAGGAGTGGAGGATGATGACGGTGTTTTGGGCAAAAAATGAAAGAAAATAGTCACCAGCCGAGTGGTTCAAGATTCGAGATTCACTTAAATTTTCCCCCTGATTTGAGGACTTGGAATAGAAATGAGTGGTTTTAAGGAATGTTACATCAAGATAGACAAAGGTGTAAAGTCCCAATAATAATAATAATTAATTATTCTAAGTACTATATTTTTATATTTTGGAAAGTTGAGGAATTAAAATGATACATTTATTAAATTATATTTTATTTTATTTGGGTCAAATATTTTAATATTGATTGAGTAATGATAAATGTATCAATATTGGGCTCGTTTGATAGGTCGTAATTAATTATGTATTTTAGCCTTGAGAAAAAGTTAATCCGGATAAGCGAGTCCAAGTTATCGAGGTAGAAATATTTTGCCTTAAATTGTAATTTAGGTCCAAGTTATTTTATTGAATTGTGAATTTTAATAGGAAAGCACGTGTATGATATGTGTTTGTTTCTATTTTTATTCTATTATATATATTTTAGTTGTGGTTGATTTGACATGTGTGGGAATCCTAAATTGATAAGACTTGGTCAAAATTTAGTTACAAATATTCCTATCCAATTACCCTATCTCACTCCCTCACGTTTCACACTATGCACCAATTCTTTTTAGAGTTTAGGTTATTATTGCCTAGATACTTATAGGTGTATAACACAAGCAAAATATACTTTTATGCACGGAACACAAGCAAAGGCAGGAAAATAGTTGGAACGTGATTTTGGGATTTTTCATCTTTCAAGAACTCATTTAGCCCCTGTTTGACATCCATTATCTTCCCACTCTTTCTCATTTTTTTTCTCTTTCTTCATTTTAACCACACATTCTATCAATAAAATAATATTACATAAAAACTCAAAAATTCTTCTTACTTTTTAACCACACATTCTTCCCATCAATCACTATTCTAGAATTTATTATTATCCAAAATGGGTGTCAAATTTAACAAGGTAGGATTTTTTTTTTTATAACCGTGGATGTCTGGGACAGCTTGCGCGCACCTCGACTAATCCCACAGTGCCCTGAAGTTTGCGGTCGGGTACTCACCTCAATTACCCTGAGAGGACTCAAACTGGTGACCATTGGGGAGCAAACCCAAGGCCTAACCAATTGAGCAAGCCCTCAAGGTTAATTTAACAAGGTATGATTACGAGGTACAAGCGATGTTATTCCGTTTAAATTATTTATTTTCATGTTGATAAATATTATGCTAATGAAAGTTATGATATGAAATTGTCATCCAGTACCAAAGATATGATGTGTTATGAGCTCTTACCAGTTTCTATGATATGATGGTATGATAATTTTGACCCATGATTTAAATATTTTATTCGGGATTGTACCATTAATTCGTGTCATATTGAGTATTCCATATACTTGCCCATTTTTCCCTACTTCACAAGTTAGAACAGGTAGTTGGTTGGCAGGCGATGAGGTGCAGTCGTGGTGCCAAGATTTATGGAATTTAATAAAAATAATCCAATGTAACAAGACTTTTTTTTAAAAGAAATTCAGCAATTTTTCTTAGTTTATTTTGAAATCTAAGACATGTTTTATTGGATTATAAATTCAAAACTCTATTATGCTTTATTAGTGAAATTAACATTTTATTATTTATCTAATAAAATAGATATGCATTTTTTAAAAAAAATATTTATTTGGTTATGAGTTTTATCAATTTAATTGTGCCTATTAATTTTATATATTTACATTGTTAAAGTTAATAGTTTCGATAGCGATTTAAAAATTAGATTTTGGGTCGTTACAAAGGTGCGATGTGATACGAGATCATAGCACTTGTAACCTTTTTGTGTAGGCGAATAACCATGAAAAACACATTTTGTGGTTCGAGGTTGTAGTTTAGTTTGCTAGTGTGTATGGACATGTACAAATGATGTATAGCCAAAGATTTTAAGGGGAAGAGTAGAATTAAGTCGAGAGTAAAGAAAGACATCTTGAAATTTTTTATGAGGGGTGACAAATGAAATGACTAGACTAGGCATTCTATTTATGAGATAAATTGCAGTAAAGATAGCATCGCCCCAAAAAAAATTGGCATGTTGATAGTTAACATTAGGACATGAACTACATCAAGGATGTGTCTATTTTTTCGTTCAACAATCCCATTTTCTTGAGGGGAGTCAACACATGAACTCTGGTGAATGATGTCGTGTTCATGAAGATAAAGACTCAAACTCTATTGAAACATTCACTACCATTGTCGGTACGTAAAAATTAAAATTTGTATTTTGGTGTAGAATTGTGTTTAGATCATGAAGTGAAAATTGATAGAAAAAAAAATAACGGACTTCAATTTTATATCTCAACAAATAAACCCAACAAAGTCGTGTATGGTCATCTATGAATGTGATAAACCATTTTGTGTATGTTCAACTAGGAATACGGAAAGTACCCCAAACATCACTATGAATCATAGTGAACGGCTTAGTGGGTTTGTATGTAGATTTTGGAAATGAAGTACAATAATGTTTTGCAAGTTCACAAACTTCACATTGAATATCAAAAGACAATTTATTGGAACAAAGAGCATGAAATAAATGTCACAAATACTAAAAATTTGGATGACCCATCCTAGAATGCCATAACGGTTCACTATTCTTAGAGGGAAAAACAAAATCACAGACAGCATTTTGACATTGGTTACTCACTTTAGCTTGCTCAAAATAGTAGTCCCTCAAACTCCTTAACACTGCCCATCATCGTCCCCGATAACAGATCCCGAAAGACATAATAATTTTGAAACATGGAGGACTAAGATAGAATCAGAGAGACGAATACTTCATTTGCCTGCAATAGGAGAAAGGGATCCATCTACAATTTTTACTTTTATATTTCCAGCACATGATGAATACATTGAAAATAGATGATAAGAATCAATAATATGGTCAGATGCTCCTAAGTCTATAATCCAGGGAGTATGAGTACGGGAGGCGATTAAGGCTTTCAAAGGATTACCTCTATGGGCTAGGGAATTAGAAGGAATGTTTTTTTATGACTAACCGGAGGATTGAAGGGTAGCAATCCTCTCCATGATCTTTTCCAATTGATCTGAAGAGGTGTTGCTGTTTGGAGTGGACTCAGTATTTTTCTCTTTGTTGTTTCTCAGTTTGACGGAGGTATCCCCTATTGTTAGCTCGATTTAGGAAAAAACCGACTCTGATTCCATGAAGAATAAAATAAGAATTTTCTGTATTTCTTGATTGAATTGTACACACCTATTTCACCCTATTTATAGCACAACAATGAAAATAAAAAAGGAAAAAATAATCTTCTAATTTAGGATACAAAAAATTAGCCTAACAATCAACATAAGTTATGGAAGGATTTAATCAATTATATATCAATCATGATTAATCATGATCAATCACGATTGATCTCTAGGATTTCTACAATGTTACTCAATGGCCATGATCACTAAGCAGTTATTAGGATATTTAGAAAATGAATGAAGCAAGTACACAACACGTATTCAAAAATAATCAATTTGTGATTCTCATACAGGGAACATACAACCTGAAAGTTATAAGAACTGCAAAACCCAATTGCTAAGAGAAAGTAAAAATATAAGAAGTAGAAACTCAAATCCAAAGGAAGTGCCAATAGTTCTTGTCATCGAGGATTTGTAATTAGATTAGTACAAATCTCATGCAACCTTAGCCCCTAAATAAATATATAAATGAAAACAAAATTGATAACTTGATTAATGGAAATTGCACATTATACACTCTTCCGCATGCAACAAAATAAAAAATTAAAAAAATAATAATAATCTTCTCCCTAGTACTTTCCAGTTACAGTAAAGGATAGAGGAATCTGATTTCCAAATTTATTCAATTCACAGAACTCATAGCCGGTAGAAAAACTCTTTCCAATATTAAAAGAACAAAAGTATAATGCTACAAGCAACTTTAGTCTGTTTTCTCTGCACCAGCACGTAATCAAAAATCATTGAAAAGGTAGCATTTCTAGCACTGGAAACATAACTTTTACCTCCTTTAAAGTCTCACTAACAAGATTTCCAGGGCACCATGTATCACGCCTTTTTCCCTACAATAGGAAAAGTAAATGAAAGAACCACAGAGAGAGGTAGGTAACCACAAAAAATTGTTGTGTCGAATGTCAAATTGTATGATACAGAGTACTGGCAGAACAAACTATACATTAATACTGATTGCTTAAGTAAGAATAGTGCAGATGCATTTCTTTTAGCTCTACACTTATTCATTATACAAGTTAATTTATGTACGACAAAAATCAAAACTCAAAAGCCTTGAGAACATACTAAGGATTGAAAAAGCATCATCACGAAAGGTACAACCCATATAATGCTTCAACTATTTAAACATAGATGTTAAGCTTACATTACTCTATGTTGAAATGACTACTTGCATTAACGAAAGTATAGTCACAATGCCAGACACTAATTGGAAAACGAATCACAAAGAACAAAGATGTTTGGGTGATACACGGGCTCTAACTTGTGTACTTGTAACCAAAACTAGTACCAACATCTATTCATAGATTGTAAGCATTTACATTAAAGTGGAGAAGAATGAAGATACATGTTAGAGGTCCTGCCTAAAATTATGAAGCAATTAGATCTATGACGACATGGTAGGACAGACTACATAAACATATTTAAGATCGAGATCGACTGCAAATTGCTTTTTGTTATACAGAAATATAGATTGAGAAAATATGAAGTAAAGTATCACATCATTGAGTTCATTTTCCTATTGCCTCCACCTTTTACAGAATGCTGAACATCTAGTTACATTACTCGGTAGTTTAATATAGATTTAGCGAGTATACAGCATATGCAGAAAAAGGGGTTCTAAAGACACATACTTCCAACTTAAAAGCACTTCAACTTGTGTTCAGAAATGCACACAGCACACGTCATGAAAAATGCAAAAAATAGCATACCTTCTTGTTGAATTCTCGGATTTCATCCCTATTAGTGCAGAATACCATTGAACTCAAGTTCTCTATTTTCTTGGCTTGTTCTTGCAACCTCTTCTCCCTTTCAGCCTGAGCTTTCTTTTCCTCTTCCAGCTCTAAGGCCATTCTCTCTCTTTCCAACTCACTCTGACAATAATTAAGACTTATTAACTTTAACACATTCCTTAATACAATAACATAAGAAATCTTCCTTGCAAACCTTTAGCAATGTATTCCGCAGATTCAGGATTTCCTCTTCTAGATGTTCAGAGTGTAAACCCTTCAAATACAAACAAGTGCAAACTGTCAAGTTATCTTGGTACTCTAATAGAACTACTCCTAGTCTCATGGGCATGAGTTCACACGAAAACCTATACCAACCTGTAATTTAGCACGTAGTTCCTCGATCTCCTTTTTCTGACGCTTTAGTAAAGCAGCATCAGTCAATATCTGCCGTTACAAGAATGCAAGATAATTAGTCACATGAAAATCAAATTTAGAAGAGGATAATTTTATTTGTACAACCGAGGTTGACAACCTCTCACATGTGTGCGGGGTCCACATGTTTAAAAAATTAAAAAAAAAAAAGCGGACCCTCCCATGTGAGTGGTTGTCAACCGAGGTTGTACAATTAGCATGGTCCTTTTAAAGAATTGAAATCATAAACACGAAATTTCAACTACATGGAGAATATCAGTCAAGGGAAATGGGAATTACCTCATTTACATGAGCACAATTTGTCACTCGCAATGCTCTGCTTGCAAATTGAAGACTGCTTTTTGTCTCATCAGCATGGATCTGCAAGCAAAAAGCTCTAGTCAGCTGTAGATATTCATCCTTCCACTACTTATTCATAAATTGAGGCGGGGAAGACACGACCAAAAAAAAAATACAATTACATGTAAAAGTTAGCACTCAAGATGATTAGTCTGACGCAATTGATGTCACCACCATTTTCTCAAAAAACAATAAGACCCTATTTGGTGCACATTTTTGCTCCAAAAATGCATTTTTTTTTTTTATGTGATGGGAAATATATGGTTGAAAAGAAGGAAAAGTTATTGATGTGATAGAAAATATTATTTTATTGAAAATGTGTGATTTAAAATGAGTATGTGTGTGCCACATTATTTTTGAATAATGTATTCTGAAATAGTAGATTGATGGAGAAGTTGTGGTTGAAAAAGAAGGAAAAATTATTGATGTGATGGAAAATATTATTTTATTGAAAAATGTGTGATTTAAAATGAGTAGAAGAATGAGAATGAAAAAAATAATGTGGCTCAAACAGGGACTAAATAAGCTAAGAGGTACAAATTTGCACCCATGCTCGTGAAATTCACCTGTGCAAGTGTAATATTGCATATGATAGCAGTATTTGCATTCCCACCCAATGCAGGTTGTAAAATACGCGTGAGTTTGCTGTCTCGATAAGGGACATGACCCCTGCAATATTCACATGATGCTTAAGAACATTAATATGTTCAAATAACTGAATTTAGAAACAATTCAAACTCACCCTTGGCTCTCAGCGCCTTCACTTAGTTTCTTTATAACGGTACCTAACGTCATTAGGCTTTTGTTGATATGGGAGCCCTCTTTCAGGCGAACACCTTCTGCTCCAGTCTTTGCAGCACGCTCAGAACCAGCAAGATCCACCAAGTTCTGTATAGGTTGACGGAATAAAGACGAAGGGACAAAAAGATCATAAAACTTTTCTTTATTTAAAACAAGAGAATATATATGGAGAGAAAACTTACAGAACTGTAGGACAAGGAAAAGGAAAAGTAAGAAGAAATAAATACACATAAATCCCTCAACAGAGCTGCATGTGCAATAAAGCTAAACCAGCATATAATCATATAGCATTAGCACATAAAAATGACAAACGCCACTGCATCCCAAAGAAAAAAAAAAAAGAACTTCCTTCAACCATATTGCATATCTTAGAATTGTAAACCAGCAAACAGTCGCACAACTTTAGCCCTCAAAGATGACAAAAACACAACTTTATTCTATAAGCGATGAGAATTAAAATTATAATCTAAGACATCCTAGCATTTCTCCCAAACCATTTAGACCAAGTTATAGCCACTAGAATAAGGCCATAACAGCAAAGCCAAAAATATGATTATTTATTCCCTTGAAAAAACGATTAAATCTAATAATTTAGGATGTGAATTTTTACGTAAATGAAGAAACAAAGAGAGGACCATGAACTGCATACCAAGACAGAGACACGAATTGCATCACATGACAAGTCTGCTTCTGCATCATCAGTTTTCTCCCTGCTCTCAATAATCTATACTTGCAAATTTTTCATTAGCATAATTGACAGATTCATGAATCGTATAAGAATTACAAGAATTATAAACCTACCATGCGGAATATCGTGTGCGACCTACTGCTGTATACATTCATATTTGTCTCCCCAATATGACGATGAGCTGTAAAATCAATAACAAAGAGCGAAAGAGTTAAAATTGTTATCCACTACTTGAATATTTGACTATGTAAGACTAAGATGAGGATGATGGTGGGTTTCATTTGAGTTTTCCCCTTCTCAAATTTACAGATGAAAGGGAATAAAAAAGGACTTGGTTCATTATGGACAATAATAAATATAATTAGATTCTGAGCATTCCTTTGAAAATGGGAACTTTAAAAAGTAATAACTAATAACTGTGAATTCATTTAGATAAATAAAAGGAGAACATACATTCCCCAAATTCCATGAGTTCAAGAACTTGGTCTGGAGAAGCCACAATTTCTTCTCTTAAACCGGCAACAAAAATCCCTCGCTTCATGTTTTACAAAAAACAAAAAGAATGTGAGGCGCTGAGGATTAATACTTATCTGCACAATGAAAGTAGTCATATACGTGGAAAAAGCAAACTAATACATCGATGCTTTCATGAATTTGTAATTTCCGATGTTCAGGAGCCAACAAATCATTTATCTCCTCATTGTAGATCTCCATATAAGACATGCGTAAAAGGAACTCTCGATCCATTTCCTAGAAGTGAGAAATTACAATAAGAGAGTATCAGTTAAATCCAATAACAAGTCTAAATAAAACAACTGGTTCATTTGTTGCAATAGATCAAAGTTTACTAATTAACTAATACAAGGCCGGACAACCTATCGTTACCAAAAGACATTCATAAGATTAGAATATACATGTGCATCCCCATCCTTATGTGTTCAACTTGCCTAGTACTCCACATTGAGTGTAATGTGAAGTCCCAGAGCCATGTGGGTTATCCCATGAATTTATAAATGAACCAGATTTCCCAACACAATGGCTTTTCTATTCTATATTTCATGCGTGTAACTGTCCCATTGCTTTAGCAATAATAATGCTTTAGGAGCTTGAACCTAATAAGCTTGTTTTGTCAAATGAATAAAAAATTTAAGTGGTTAATAAGTCATAAAGACAACTACAAAAGGTAAAGGGGTTAATGACAACAATTACCTCATGTATAATGTTAAAGAGATCATACACAGCAAGTGGAATAACTCCAGGCTCTGATGCTGAACCTCGCATTGTGTGTGTTTTGCCACTACTTGTTTGTCCATATGCAAAAACAGTCCCTGAAGAGACCAAGTGGTGAGATAGATGAGTACACAAGATTATGTATGTCTATGGTCATGATATGTACGGTGCATGAGAAAATTCAAGAGAAGGAAAAGAATTGCGCTAAACAAGTGGTTGGAAATATGAGCTTTGTTTCGTTTTGATTGTATAGACTAACTACTGTGATCGTTTGATTTTAACAAAAGTATAAATGATAAAAACAAATAATCTTTTTTAAAGCAACTATTGGTGACAATATTATGAGCAGATAATGTTGCTAAATTATGGTAACTCACTATTAGTTAATAAACTATATCATGTTAACCATGCACTTTATCACAAGCATTTAGATTAAAGCAGTTAACTTGATAGAGCCTGAAATCTAACAACTATGAGTTAAATAAGTCAAGGTTTTGCTCAGGACAAGTAACCTGCACAAATAGGTTACATTATATATAAAGATTCACATAAGTACTTGACTAGTTAATCCTCTTTTGATGCGATCTATATGAAAAGGCAATGTGGACTTCTGTGCAGCAGGCAATAATATAAAATGGTAAGGCTCGAATGACACAAAAATCATGCTTGTGATCAAATTTTTTATTGAGTTAAGACCTGTGAAGAATAACAGTTCAAAAGTGCATACTCAAACCTATTTGAGATGGTCTTTGAAACTAGATGTCATTGATGTATTTCTAAGATCTACAATCATTGCAAAATAGCCAAAAAGTGTGAAGTTCCTCCTTTAAGGTGTAGATCCAGCACCATCCATTTCCTTCTTTTGTTCACCATTTCTGTGGCAGTTAATAGTATTGGCCCTTTATCAGCTATTCAGTTATCCTTCTAAAGGCTGAAATAGTATTAACGTTTTATGCAACAAAAGTAATTCTCCAAATAAAAATAACACAAAAAGGATAAAAAAAAATCAAAATGCCCACTTTAAAATTACCGTGCAACACTTAGTCAACTTAACCAAACTTATCTCATACCATTAAAGCCATGAACTGCAGCAGCAACTATATCTCCGGTTCGAGATTTGTATACATCTGCCGTTCTACATTCCTCCTCAAAAATCCGATCTAATTAACAAACAAAAAACATGTGTAAAAATAAAAACAACGAATCTAAATCGTAAAATAATATCCAAAGTTACACTGTCTGAGCTAAAAGTAAATTGAAACTAAAAAAAAGCTTGTAAGCACTGAATCCCATGAAAGCATAGGTATAAGTACGACCACTGGTGCAAAAGCTATAGTGGTTGGTAAGTCTTGTATGCAATATTATAATATTGGTGTACACAAAGAAAGAGAGGAAATAATACCAAATTCGAATTTGGAAGGCTGATTAGGGATGAAAATGGAATTTCCAGAAATGCGCCATGGACTTGTCCTTGCGTCCTCCGAAGAAAGTGGCCTCGCTCTGACAGATACGTGTATTCTCTCCATTTTCTCAGTATCTCTTCGTGCTCTAGCCTTCTGTAGAAAGAGGAGAGGACGGGAAGGAGAAAAGGTTATTTTCCCGCCTTTAAAAAACCCACATCCCCTCTTCTATCCCGTGTTTGATTTTTGAGCTAGGATGATAGTACCTAGGTTTTGGATTTGGGCGGGGGCTAATGGTTGAACTTTTTTGTTTTGGAGTTGGGCTGTTGTTGGACACGGGCTATCATAAATAAGGTGTATTCTTTACACCAATTCAAAAATAAGGTTTATAGTTTGAAACTTCAAAAATCAGGTTTTTTTTTTTTTTTTTTAATTCTAATATAATATAATATAATAAACCCACCCCACATGCACCACCCCCCTACTCCGGTGACTATTCCGACGACAATTCCGACCACCACTCTTCTTCGGCTCCGATTCCGGCGACCATTCCGGCGAGGTCACAGATTTTTAAAGAGTCACGTATTATTATAGTCACCGGTCACATTTTGGTCACAGATTTACAATTTAGTTAGTCACATATTATTTTTCAGTCACGGATAATAATTCTTATACGTCACATATTATTTTACGGTCACAGTTCAAAAATTTTGTAGGTCACAATTATTTCTTTGGTCACATATTTCAAATTTAGTTGGTCACATATCAAAATTTATAGGTCACACGGTCACATATTTCAAAAACTGGTTGGTCACAGATTATTTTTGAGTCACATATTACTAAATTTTTAGGTCACAGTTGAGTAATCAGTCACAGATTACCAAATATTTGGTTTCATACCCTCAAATACTTGGTTACATAACCAAGTAATTGGTCACATACACCAAATAGAGGTCACACACCACACCACACCACCATCACCAACACCGCTTGTCACAGATTAAATATTTGGCGACAGATAACCAAATATTTGGTCACACACCACCAACGTGGCCGCCCCCGCCACAAAATCGCCACCACCACCATAGATCCACCAACAATAGCAACCAACGCACAGCACATCACTCAATAGCCAAAAAAAAAAAAAAACTAAAATGCAACAGCGAAATCGCTGCTCCTTTCCCGGCAGCGAAATCGCTGCTCACAGCAGCGATTTCGCTGCCGGATGTGCAGCAATTTCGCTGCTGCTGCAGCAACGATTTCGTTGCCGGAAATCGCTGCTATCGCTGCTGCTGGCAGCAGCGATTTTAGCAGCGAAATCGCTGCTCTGCTGAGGAGGGGGGAGGGAGGGGAGGAGAGAGGGAGGCGCCGCGGCGGCGGCGGTGAGGAAGAGGGTGGTGGGAGGGAGAGAGAGGGGGGGCAGCCGTGAGAGAGAGAAATTAGGGTTGAAAATGAATTAGGTTTTGGATATATTTATGGTTTGATATTTAAAATAAAATACCTGAAAAGTGAATAAAAAACGTACAAACCTGATTTTTATAAACCACTCTTTAAACACCTGATTTTTTATAATTTCCCTTAATTTGAATCGATTAAGAGTGTATTTGGTAAAGATTAAGGCCCTGTTTGGTATACATTATTTTTTTCATTCTCATTCTTCTACTCATTTTTAACCACACATTTTTCAATAAAATAATATTTTTCATCACATCAATAACTTTTCCTTCATTTTTAACCACACATTCTCCATCAATCTACATTCAATAATACATTCTTTCAAAAGAATGTGTCTCAAACACACTCTAAAATCGAATTAAAATTGAAAAATTAGTCGTTATTATTGAATTTTATTAGACGAGTGGGACTTAATAACGACTATATTTTCAATTTTAATTAAATTTTAATTCCCCCCAAACAAGCTCTAATTAAAAGGGCAACTTACAAAAATACCCTTAAAATTAGGGGCCTTTTAAAAAATCATGCTTTATAAAGTTAAATATTACTTTTTTATTAAAAAATAGCATACAATCTCTCTTTTATTAAAAAGTGACGTTTGTTACTAAAAAAGTGACGAAATTTTTTACAAAATGATAGGGAAAAAGTGATAAACATTATATGGTGCAAAAATTCCAAAAAGTGATAAACTTTCAAAAGTGACAAAACACAAATCAAAACCTTAGATTCAATTTTAAAAAGTGATGACTAAAAAAAGTGACAAAACACCAATCAAAACTTTAGAATCAATTCAATAAAGTGGGAAAATATTTAAGAAAGGATAAAAACTCAAAAAAAGTGACGAAAGCCCAATCACTTTTTTGGATAAATTGTATCACTTTTAATAAAAGTAACATTATATCACTTTTTAATAAAATTTTAAGTGTAATGTCACTTTTTAATTAAAAAAATGACATATAATATCACTTTCATTAAAATGTGAAATGAAATACAATATCACTTTTATTGCAAAGTGAAGTGATATTTGTCACTAAAAAGTGACAGAAATAAAAAAAAAAGTAAAAAACAATTTAAAAAATGTGATAGAAAAAAGTGACAAATACTAAAAAAGTGACATGAATTCAAAAAAAAGTGACAAACATTCAGAAAAGTGACAAAAAGTTAAAAAAACTACAAACGTTCAAAAAAGTGACAAAACACCAATCAAAAACATATAAGTCGTCTTGAGCAAACATAAACATCCAAAGCATGGAAAATAAAAGATTATATTAAGAAATGCAAATTACTCATACTATAAGAAAAAACGACAAAACACCAATCAAAAATTGGAATCAGTGACAAAAATAATATATATATATATATTTTGCAGATCCCATCCCATTTTTACAAGAAAGAAAACTACCTCTAAGAGACATTATACCACAGGGAAGAAGCCATATACTTGGAGAAATCTACATGGAGGCTATTGGGGACAAGAAACAATTGAACAACTTCTTAACTGGTTTGTCACTAGCACGAGAGCTGATTGCACGGTGCCAAAATCTTCTTGTGAATTCGCTGCAGCGTTTTGTTTTAAAGGCCCAGTACAATACAAAAAAAAAAAAAAAAAAATTCGGCATACATGATCAAAATCAGCCTCCAGAGACGACATAAACATGCATTGTTACACTATTTTTGTTCACCAATTGAGTTTCCCGTTTTCACAAAATACGTCTTGCCTAGAGAAAAAATCTGCACGAAAATGCTAAGTCTGATGTTCATTTGTATATGAGGGCATCACGTCCTGGCCCAATTCCAATGTAGTCAATGGGTACACCAACGAGTTCTTCTATCCTTTCGACATACTGACGCCTTTGGCAGTTTATAATACTTTCTAATGGAGGAAATATCACACTGCCACCCAGACATCACTTCATATTCCACCTAAACATGCAGAAGAAAGCAACACCACCAAGAGGACTGAGGACCTCATATAAGATGAGCAAATTCAGAACTCGTAGGGAGAGAGAAAGAAGTTAGTGGACAGCACCTCTCGAAATTCCGGGTACAGAACTCAATATAAATCTATATGACACCAATCAAAAATGACGAAACACCAATCAATTATGATAGTACTGAGGTCGATGAAGATTTCTCTTTGCTGTAATGGTTTGGGAGTTTTTGGAATCGAAATCAAAGGTTTTGATTTGGGTTGGGTTTTGGGGGGTTAATTTAGAAAGTATTAATTACGTGATTAAAGGTTATAATTAGTTAACGGGGTATTATTCAATTTCCTTAATTTTGGAGGGTAATGGCCTAATTTTCCCTAATTAAAAAACAAATAGAAAGCAACTAGATTTGAGCTGGGGCTGGCACGGGCTGCCCACCGGTGCCAGCCCGGGCCCAGACCCTCCCATGTACGTACCTTGGTGCAAGTTGCTTGATTTACAGACGTTGAAGAAAAATGGGAGAAAGTCAGAAGGCGATCAAAATCTTGCACGTTTGGGATAAAACCGCTTATTGGTGTATGTATAATTTGGAGTTACATCTAATTATCGATAGGGAAAATTTCATTTCTAAGATGTTAAGTATGTGTCATTTCAAAAATAAGAAAACAAGTTTCAAATTTCAAAAATCAAAATTTTTTTAATTTTAATTTATGAATTAATAAATTTATTAAATATTTAATTCTAATATAATATAATTAATTCACCCACCTCCACTACCCCTACTGCTCTGGGACTATTCCGGCGACCGTTCCGGCAACCACTCTTCTCCGACGACTGCTTTGGCGATCGTTTCAGTGACTTCCGGCGATTGTTCCGGCAACTTCTCCGATTCCGGTGACTATTCTGATGACCGTCACAGATTTATATAATATGGTCACGGATTCACAATTTAGTTAGTCACATTATTTTTCGATCACAAATCATAATTTTTTACATCACAAATTATTTTATGATCACAGCTCAAAAATTTTACAGGTTACAATTTGTTTATCGGTCACGGATTAAAAAATTTGTAGGTGACAAATTATTTCAAGGTCACAAATCAAAAATTTTGTAGGTCACAAATCAAAAATTTTATAGGTCACGATTTATTTCATTGGTCACGTATTATCAAATTATTGGTCACAACTTATTTCTCGATCACAAATCAAAATGTCACGATTATTTTACGGTCACAATTCAAAAAATTTATAAGTCACAATTTGTTCATCGGTTACAATTCAAAAATTTATACGTCACAATTTATTCATCGATCACAAATCTATCAAACTAATAATCACATATTACTTATTGGTTATAAATCACGAATTTTATAAATCACAACTTATTTTATGGTCACAAAAAATTCAAATTAATTACTCATAAATTATATTTAGGTCACAATTTATCAAATTATTGGTCACAAATTAATAAATTTTTCGGTCACATAGTATTTATTTATTACAATTCATCTATTTCATTGGTCACCTATTCGTTATTGGTCGCACACCAACCAATTTATTGGTCACAATTAACCAAATCATATGTGACCACCACCAACGTTTGTGACCACCACCACCACACCGTTGCAACAGCCCAAACTACCGGCGCCAAAACCACAAATACCACCTCCCGACAACAAAACCATCGTCTAGAATACCGTAGCCAACATCACCACCACCCACCCACAACCATCATACCACC